TATGTGCACCCCAGGGGTGCCAAGATGATCCATTTGGGTGTGGGAAGAAAATACTGAAACTTCAGTATTAGAAGTATATAATTTATGAATAAATACACATACATTGGAGGTGCATACTCAAAAAATTTTTAGTGATAGGTGTGTGCAATGAAAAAAGTTTGGAGACCACTGGCTTAGTGGACTACTGTTCTACAGGCTTTTTACTGTTGTAGAGGCTTCTGTGCTTAATTTGTATCACTCTGCTGTAGACATGGCCGCTGCTTTTCTTTCCTGCATTACTCCTGTAACTGAAACCAAATCAAAAAGTCCTCCTGATGTGGTACACCACTGAGGAGGTATAAACAGAAAAGGAGTATGAAGAAGAAGAATAGTGAGGTGTAAGTGCAAAATGTTTGTCTAAAATGGAGTTGGAATATGAAGCATGGTACATTTTGCTTATCAGGATATATGGAAGGGAGTGGGAATATTTGCAGGTTGCAAAAGATACCCACAAAGATACTCACTCTGCTGTTTTCCATCAGAGCAGCTAGTCTTGCTGCAGCTAGTCTTGCTCACCATCAATCATTTCTGTCCCAACATAGAGAAGCTTCATAATTCACCCTTCCAGACCTTCACAGGGAGCTTGGTAAGAGGGGGGGGAAAAAAAACCCCTTTCCAGCTACCCTTGAGTGGTTCTTCTCATCTGTCTTTCCAAAACCAGAGACGCCTTGACTCCAGGGGGAAGAAGCCAGGAACGCAAATATGGCACAGCAGCTGTAAAAGGGACTTCTCATGCTTGGGAAGGAAGGGTAACGTCATTCCTTTGGGATGCAGGCACCTCTGGTTTTGTCAGGAAAACAACAACAGTTATCGAGACTGTAGAAGCTTCGTTAGTAGTGTCCTTGTGGTATAGTTTTAGTAGGTGCAGCATCCTAATACTGTTGATTTTGTAGTGAGCAATATTTTGTAAAATATCCAGCCTGCTAAAGTAACATCCATTGTTAGAAGCTGGGCAACTTGTTGCATTTTTTTCATTTTGTGTAAATTGTTGGTCGAGCATCTATTGTTTTCCGTGTTCTTGATACATAAATTAGATCATGCTGATTCATCTTTTCCTGATACATGTGATTTAATAGCAACAACTCAGTCTCGGTCTCAGCTCTAATTTGTTGACCTAGAAGCTATTGCCTCTAATTGGGATGTGTTGTTGTAGTTAGGAAATAGGTAGCACAGAATGAGCATTCAAAAAGATAAAAGGTGTTTCTCCTGAGTGCTTGTCCTCATTTCTCTACATCTCTGTGGTACTAGTCCGAATCCCAAATAAAATCAGGAATTGGGAAGGAGAGCAAAACAGAAATAGTCCTCTGCCCTTTCATTCTGGGGAAGGAGTAGTGCAGAAATGGTGAGGAGAAGCTGAAAGGAGCAGGTCATACAGGTGTAAGGCTCTGTGAGAAGGCAGAGTAAAGCACCTTTGCTACTCTGATCCAAACATGGGTGGGAGCAAGAAAGGGGCTGCTGCCCAGAGGCCAGATTTAGTCCCAAACCACCATTTTAAAAATTGTCTGCATTCCATCTCAGTCCCCTTGTGAAAGATATTACATCCTATGGAGAGTGTGCATTGAAGTGCAACCAAGATGATAGTTTGTTTATGAGGAACAGCTAAAAAGGGTGATCCTTCTCGCACCGAGATAAAGAAAACGCTGAGATGCCCTGAAAGAAATTATTTTAGAAGAGGACTGGAAATAATAAAATCAAATAAGCTCTTTTTAACTGAAAGGGAGGCTAAAATGCTTGTTAGAGTAAATATAAATCCATTCACAGCTGCTTCCCTTTTGAAGAAGGAATAAAGAAATATATGAAGCTGTATTTCTATTTTACAGCATTTCCCAGAGGTGCAAGATTATTGAACAAATAGTGTTATTTACTAGATCTAGTCTTCTGAGATGCCCACAAAGGATTCCTTTTATATTTCCTGATCTGTGGTTTTAAGAGAATAAATCTTCAATAACATAGAGTGCTAACTATTAGCTGGCACAGAAAGAGTCATCATTCTCATTAGTTAGTACTTGTTTGAATGAAACAGAATGTGGCACGATAGAAAACAAAGCATCATAACTCAATATGGAAGGCAAAAAATAATATTTATGTTTTGTCTTAGTCTGAAACTGCACATCTGCAAATGGAAGGGGAATTGTAAGAGTTTGCGTCCTTCTGCACAGCTTGGTGGGAAAGCGGGGAAGTGGGTAACAACACACCGTCCCCTGCAGCTGCGCCAGTGCCAAGGTGAAAACCCTCCAAATAGCACTTGGATATCATTTTTCTCCTTGTAGCCAGGGAAACTGGAGGATCGGCTTGTACAACTCTCCCTACGCCCTGGCTGCGTAGCAAGCTTGCAGGACCGCCACCTAGAGCAGGAGAGGAGGGCTTGGTGGGTTAGCATCATGTGCCGTAAGCCACCTCTCATAGGGATCCCTGGTGTGCAAAGTGGTCTAGGATCCTTCTCAGAGAAAGGTGAACGTGGCCATTGCAGCATCGCACTCCTGTTAGTTACACAGGCTTAGCCTGCAAAGACCTTTTGCAGCTGAAACCAAGAGTAAGTTTGTTCTCAGGTCAGATCGGGTGAATTAGTCCCTGGATCAGCAATATTTCATTGTTCTGTGAAGCACAGCATTGTAGTTAGCTAGTTTTACACAGGTAGTGGTTTTACTAGGAGTTCATACAGTATCAACAGGAGGGGAAAAACGTTTGTTCAGATTTTCCTGGAAGATAGTCTCAGCTGATCTGTAATATTTTTGATGCATATAGAAATAAAGGAGACCTTTTGTGTGATGTAAATTTGTATATTAGATCACGTATTTGGTTATACTAAGTATGGACTTCTTTACAGGATTTAGTCATTTATGTTTTAATCCAGCATTTGATCATCTTTCTTTTTGTTGTAAATAATTAACCATGAAGTATTTGACATAAAAAAATAACTGTAAAATGGGAACTAAGGTCTCTGATACATTTTTCCCCTTCATTGACACAGTTTCATATGCTGGAAATTATTTATGATGATCTGTCCGATCAATTTTTCAGCCTCTGCTCTTGACATTCTTAAAATTACAGTGATATTCCCATCAGGGAAAGAATAATACATATTTTCCCCAAACTAGCAATCTTTTCAAGTTCTCTTGCTTTTTCTTCCAGTGCAGTGCTGGAGTTGTTGGCAGGTAAGGAGTTGCCAGGAGCTGAACTGACATTATAAATGTCAGAGGTCAACCCATGTGTGGGAAAGAAGGAGGCTGTCAAGGAAACAAGTTAACCTTCTTTGTGGAAACACTCTGATTGTATCTTTATTGAGAACAACATAGTCCTATGGCTGGTCTGTTCCTGCTTTGAGAACTGAAATAAAAAAGGAGACTTGAAAAGGTTATGCATTTGGAAAAATGCTTATTATTGGTTGCCTAAAAGGGAGGGTTGGGTTGTTGGGTTTTTTTAAATCTCACTCCTATCTGAAAAGAAAGATTGTATCCCCATGATTTATCAGTGTATATCTTCTAACTTTGAGTCAGACAAACTGAAGCCCTCAGCTTACTTTATAAGCCAAGAGGTGTCACCAAATGACACTGTTAATAAAAGACATTTTCTGTGTCCATTCACTGCAAGTACTCTGTAGTGTTACAGCTAGGTGTTCAAAAATAGAAGTTCAATAGCTTTGAATGATTTATATCAAAGGAAGCCAGTGTTTTAAATACCCTGAAACAAAAGAATACATCTGTAGATTAATTTTTTTCATTTTTTTCTTTTTCTTTTTTTCTTAAATTGAAGGCTGGAATTCCTGTACAGAAGATCAAATTCAGTTCCTGAACTAATTTCAGAATTATGGCTGTGATAAGCCTTTTTCCTTTTAAAGTGGCTTACAACAAGTTTTACTTTAAATAGAAATTGCCCATTCATGGCATTAGCACATTGCTTTATAAAAAGAGTCATGTTTCTATTTTTTTAATGGAAATTAGTCTGGAGAATTTATTTTGGGAGAGTTCTGCTATTTTTCAAAAAAAATCCAAAAAATCACTGCTATAGAAGCAAGGGTTTGCAGATTTTAGTGTAAGACAGACTGTTCCATCAGTGAAAAATTTAGTTTGAAAATGGATCATTTTGCAAAACAGAGGTTTCAGTCTTCAGCCCTTCCTCAGTCTCTGAGTGACCATCCTTGCAGCCTGCGTATTCCTGCTCCGGTCATCAGCCCGGTATACGTGCATCCAAACACGCCCTTCCTGTGAGAAACCTTCACAGCAAGCATTGTTTCTATTGGGAGTGTGAGAGTGCATTGGGACCAAGGGACGTCGCAGGGAGGATTTATCTGAGTAGTAATTCCACAGCAAGGTGTTGGAAGAAAAAAATACAAGCAGCCTTACGACTGATGGGATATTGAGCTTTTTTTTTTTTTTTCCTTATTTGGGAGTATTTTATGCACACTTCTTTGAAAGTACTCAGTGAGGTTTCAGATTTTTTTGTTGTTTGTTTCTGTGTATGATTCAACTGTCTGTCCAGTGCTTGCAGGATAGCTTTGTAGAAGAGGTGAGCTACTTATCCAGTAAAACTTACAGCTGGAGCAACAAGATTTAAATCGTAGCAACAGAGGTCAGCTGTCCTCCTGGTCTCTGACTTTACTCTTCCACAAAAACACAATTCACCTTTTTAATATTGCATTTGTATTATACTTGATGTATAACTGTGGGTATTGTTTTTGATGTAAATGTTGTACACCCTCAGGGTAGGATTGTATATCCTAGTTCACACAGAGCTTATAGTACCTGTTCCACAATTTTCTTCATTGATTGCACTGAGTTGACTCGAGGAGGAGGATGTAATTCAACAAAGACCAAGGACAGTAAGATCTATGCCAATGTGATCAAAGTCTTGCAGCTCTAAATAAGAGCAAAATGCAAATTAAATTTATACTATCTGGAGTTACACTGCCATCTAGTGATACAAAGAGTCAATGTCCGCTTTCTTTATTTTGTTTTCTAAAGATTAGCATCTTCATGACACATTTGTCTAATTATGGAAACGACCGCCTGGGGTTATACACCTTTGTGAATCTGGCCAACTTTGTTCATACCTGGACAAACCTCAAACTGCAGACTCTTCCTCCGGTTCAGCTGGCTCACAAATATTTTGAACTATTCCCTGAACAAAAGGACCCTCTCTGGCAGGTAGGCAGACTTGCTGATGAAGAGATCAGAAAAAAAATCATCTCGATGGTGGTTTTTGTGAAGTTGTTTCAGTTTCTTGTAGAGAAAAACAGTAATGTTTTTAGATGTACTAGTTAGTTCCATAAAACAGCTTCAGCATACATGAATGTTTTTCCTGTGACCTAAATCTCCATAGAAAGGTCGTGGAATTAGTATGCATTAAGATGTGTAATTAAAATTATCTTTAATTAATTTTATTTGTGGCTTTATTTGTGGCTTTATTTGCTTTTAGAAATGTGGGAAATGCAGGAAAGGCATGTTGTGTTATTTCTCTTCTCCTTTTGGAACTACCAGGAATGAAGCATTTGACAGACAATACATGCGTGTTTTAGCAATTGGCCATTAAAGAAATGAGCTTTTTTCAAAGTGTGTGAAAGGAAGAGGGTATCTGACAGGAGCATTAAGACCATGGCTACCTTAATGCTAAAACTGACTAGCCAAGTAGAAATACAGTAGATGGATTAGAAAGTTATTCACAAAAGCCTGAGAGCTGCCCAAGCAAGACGTTTACTAGCACTTGATACATTGGTGTTATCAACTCTGCTCCTTGATTATCCCACTGTCATAAGTGAGCAAATTGAAAATATCAGGAATGTGAAGACCTGCTAAGGCTGAAGCCTGCCCTGACCTCGCAGTTGACACGTCTTCAGCCCATCACCCAGCAATAGGAGCAGAGTCCCTAAAGAGAAACTACTGCACCAAGCGGTGAATGCGCTCATGTTCTTTTTGCACTTGCTCAGTGACAGTTCAACCAATTCAGTGGAATGTCTGAGTTCGGTAGGTACGTGTGTCCCTACGGTGATAATATGTATCCCAAATATCATCCTTTTGAGGTGACTTTGTAGAAATATTCTAAGGAACAAGCTTTACTAAATCAAACATAAAAATGTATTTAAGCTTGCTTACTCAAATGTTTTCTAGCATTGGATATTGAATTGCCAGCTTAGAATCTGAGTATGAGATTGCAAGATTGGACTTAAATATAGATCTTGAAAATCATGCTGTTGTTGAATAAAACATTGAATAAGGGAAAAATGTCAAGATTTTTGCATAATGTTAAGAGAGAATGAATTTAAAAAATGGAAATTAGCCTGTAGCCAAATGACTTGAAAAATTAGAATTACTTAGAAAAGAAATTTGTAAGTACCAGTGACTAATGTGTACTGAATGTGGTGTCTTTTGTCTATAATGCATATGAATCTGAATACAGTTATACTTTTTTAAGCCTAGAAGATAGTAATTCCCTTCATCTCAGTGCAGTACTGCCAAACAAGTGTTACAAACTGTTTGCAAGTAGCATTTCTGAAATGAATTTAGACTGCTTCGGTTGTAAAGCAACACAGGAAAATAACAGGATTCAATATTATGTACTGATTTGAACTGGAGGATCAGAATATGTATCCGTAAATTATAATTAATTTATAATTTTAATTTTAAAACTGCAGCATGTATAGGGTGGTAGCTGTTCCAGTAATGTAAAAGAAAAAGTCAGTAATTAGAGAACTCATTAGCAATTTAAGTCTTCTTAATTTGAATGTAATTGATCAATTGATTTTGAATGATTCTCACATCTTGAGTATATGGGATCAAATTTGTCTTTGGCATAATTCCGCTGAACATATGACATTTCATAGGAGAAATTATGTTGTCCCAGGGTCTGTTGGGTAGCTGGGGCAACTATATGTATGTAGGAATGAGTTAGAATTAAACCCACATTTCTCACGCATACTTGTATCATAAAAAAAAAAAAAAAACCAACAACAAAACCACTGCAGAGGTACAGTTTCTGACCTGGTTACATTGCAAATACATTTCTGAATTACTGAAATAGTTCTTTAATACATAATGTGGTTTTCTGTCATAAGGGAAAATAATATTTTCTGGGAAGAATATTTGTACATTGGTGAAAAATCGGTAATTTATAGAAAGATAACTTGAGAACCTTATCAGGTGTGATTACCAGTGAAATTCTTAGTTGTTGTTCTCTGTTTTAGAATCCCTGTGATGACAAACGACACAGAGATATCTGGTCTAAAGAAAAGACCTGTGATCGATTACCAAAATTCTTGGTTGTAGGACCCCAGAAAACTGGTGAGATTTTATTGTATTTCAACAAGATAGGTTATGTATAAGTTAAAATAATTATACTCATTAATCACTTTTTTACTCAGACTGTTGTGTAGAGATCTTGATCATCTAATAACATTTTTTTATTTTCAGCTGTCACCTAAATATAGTTTAATAATGTAAGTTACAACAGGCAGTACACATACTGAAAATGCAGGGCTCAGGTGAATGTCAGAATTTTTTGGCTTTATGTCAAAATGAGTAACACATTGATAAAGAGATCGACAAGATTGACAAGATCTTGTTGAAGGGAAGGAGGAAAGGACAGATGTTTTTCAAATGCTGCAGATTCTTAACTGCAAGTTTTTGTCTGTCTGCAAGAGTCTTGTTTACAGAAACTTGTTATTTCATGGCATTTATTTCAAGTCAAGATTTTTCGAATGGACATTTTGAGTTGCAAGGTTGCAGTAGTTTATAAATTAACTTAATGGTTAATATTCTTCTCTGTAATCAGAAAATTGTGTATGTGCTTCCTTTCATCTTCACCAATCCCCAATAGCTACTGAGTGCAAGATTTTTACGTTATTTTTGACAGTCTCATAAAAACCAATAATTATTTTTAAAACACAGTTATTAAAAGTGTGAAAACCAGATTTCAGCATTGGCTGAAACTCCAGTTTCTGTGTTAACTTCACAGTTCTTTAAATGTCCTCAATTTGAAAGCAGAGAAAGCACAGATTCTTAAGTGACATAAATCAGCATCCCCTCACTGAAATGAAATGGAATAATCCTCGTTTAGTCCATCTGTAGGTATGACCCCCCCAAAAATGTGTGTGTATTTTTTTAATCTTGGACTTTTATACTATTTGCAGGTACCACAGCCTTGTATTTGTTCCTGATCATGCATCCTTCCATCATTAGTAACTCCCCCAGCCCAAAAACCTTTGAGGAGGTACAGTTCTTTAATAGAAATAACTACCACAGGGGGATTGATTGGTAAGATGGGTTATTAGTATAAATATAAAAGTTTATATATTGTGAACAATACAAAAATGACATTACTGTTGGTAATGGTAACTGTTTATATATAGAGTAAGATAAAAAAATAACCTTCGATGTCCTTCTAAAATGACAAATAAATGCAAGTGAATAACAATCTTACTACAGAATATCATAAATGCACTAACTCGTGTGAGGCTTTCTTGTAAATATCCATATATTAATATATGCAAACCAGTAACAAAATATGTATTTCTCATTACACATGCCTTTGAAGTTGGGACAGTAATAGTTGTTAGTTGGATATATGGAGGCAAAAAAATAGGTTCCTGTTGGAAATCTTATTTCTTAAGAGAAAAAAAGGTAATATCAGGGAGAGGCATTTTTTCCTTTAAATAGGATTTAGAAATAGCAGTCGGGTGAAAGAAGGACTGGGAAAACCTCTCAAAATGTTTTTCAAAGATCAGGTAATTAGGAGAACATTACTGTCTCTGTAGGGTTAATAAGTGGAGTTAAAAATGAGTATGTATCACAGCTGCCGTGTTCACTATGGCTACCAGGGAATCACTGGACATGGCTACACCCAGAAGGTCATTCTTGATTTCTTTCACTTTCAGAAAGTGCTACAAGATGAAAAGCAGTAACATGCTGTAGTGGCTGGGGAGCACCAGTAAAAGATTATTGATATTTTGTCTTGTTTCTTTTTTTCCCCTCAGTTTAAGGGAAAATAGTTTTATTGCCTTTGACTTTGTATTCATCCATAAAATTAACAGAGTGAACACTGTTGTATGGTCTTAGTGCAGATACGTCCAATCCAATTTCTTTTTAAGTCACTTTGTTTTTACAGAGTTAGAATTGTTGCAGCAGATTCCTATTGCAAAGTGTGGTGAGTCAGCTGGTTATTACCAATAGAGAGGTGCCGGCTGAACGACTGGAAATTAGAAAGCTGACTCCTTGCTGTGGAGAATTTTGAAGTGAGAGAAGATGGCATGCAAGTGAGGTATAGCGGGTCTGATGGAGACAGCCTAAGTACAGTGAGCCAGTTCTTCCACAAAATCAATGTTTTCATGTTGCTAGAAGACCACTTTGCTGCTTCTTTCTTTTCTCCTGCCATAGCCACTTCCCTAACATGCAGCTACGATTTGTCTGCTAGACATGTGCCAAACTACCTTCATCTTAACACAGTGCTGGTGCATAAAGCTCCCAGTTGTCAACCAGGTACATCCTTTTGCCGAGATCTCCCTCTACAGCACTCATGTGGCTATTTGTGCCTCTGCGCTACATGCCCCGCTCACCCCTGCCAGGTTCTCACAGTTAAGTCCTGGATACTCAGAACTACCCATTGGTGTAGTTGCTTAACTCTTAGATTTGCATTCTGTCTGCCAGACAAATCTCTCAGACCTTCAGTCTGATAGTGTATTTTAATGCTGGCATGTAATGAGCTTACCAAATGATAATTAGATACAAGGTCTTTCCTCATTAGGCCATTAATTGGCTAGGATTCTTTCAAGGCAAGAGTATTCACAAATAACAATCAGTTCAATTTCTTTTATGGTTGTGGAGATACAGCTTTTTCCCAGAGCTGACTCTGACTTAGTCTTTGTCCGAGTGTACATTTAGACCCAGGCTGACTACAGAAGCAGGAAAGGGTTCTTTCAGCCCCAGTAACCTCAATACTGCCGTCTTGAAAGAGGTATAGAAGTATATTGTAGTCTCCCAGCAGAGATGACAGAACAGTAAGACGAGAATTGATCTTTCTGTTCTTGAAATGGAGAAGTCTAAATAGACCAGCCGTGCATTTCTTTATCTAAGCATTGTTACAGATTTCTTAGACAAGTTTATCTAAAGCCTTCTCAGCTTTGCCCTTGACAAGTTTAATAGTTCTGTCATGAATGAGGTACTGAGCAAGAGTTCTGCAGTCTCTGTTCAGCAGAAATGCTGAGCCTAAACTTTGTAACCTCTTGATATCCTACCTGGTCCAATCTCTTTACCATTTTTCACTGAGACCACATCAACTTCTACTTTTATTAAATTTGCCATGTTATCTAAAGAATCAATTAACTTTTTTCCAAAATTCAGCGCCATATTTAATGTTAAATGTTTCTTTATAAGGTTGTAGTCCTCATTGTCTTCTATTTACTCAGTCTACTACCAGGACTTCAGTACAGCAGCATAATGACACCATACATGATCTAGAGCAGGTTTGCCTGTAGTGCCTATTGCCTCTTTCAAAACCGGACTGGTTTCTTTGCTATTGATGTTCTGGTAAAACATTCTGAGGTCACACGGTCAGATCAAGTCATTAGTTTCTAATAATTTTATTTGCGAGCAGAAATTGGTATAGCTTCTACTCATAAGACCTTGAATGAATCCACAACTATTATTCCTTATCTAATGTATAGAAAATTGTCATCTGAAGGCCAGCCCACTTCTCTTGCACAGTTCTGATGACAGGTATCCATTCATGTGCCAAAGCAGCACAAAACAATGACTTGACAACCTTTGCTTGTGTATACGTAAAAGTTGCTCATAAGAATTAACTTCTCAGAATCGGGTGACACAGAGTTCAGTTTCTTTAAACCACAGTAGATTCCTTCCTTTCCTCTAAGTACCTTGTGATCAGTGCCTGTGTGCTAATCATCATCTTGTGAGATCCATGTCCTGAAGAAAACTGCATGTGCATCAGTCAGTTGCATCCTACCGAGTCTTCTGGCCTTGACTGCAATGGTCACAATTTCAAAGCCAACAAGAGCATATCATTTGTGTTAGCAGTAGCTCACTTCTATGAATAGAACAAAGTCTAAGCACTGGAAGAAATTTCAGTCCTTAGGCATGACCTTCAGAAGAGGTTGTTTTAAATGGCGTTTATTTTATCAAAACAGAGTTTGACTGAAAAATCAAGATGACCAACATTTCCCATTTATTCTTTTCCCCAACAATAATGAAAAGTGGTCTGAGGGCCATGAATAAAGTCTGTATGTGACATAGGAGATTGCTGGAAATTAACTGCGACTTCATAATGGGTGAGGAGAGCTCACAAAGAAAACTAAAAGGAATACAACCCATGTTTCCACAAAAATGTGACTCATAGAACAATAAGTGAAAGATGCTGTCACGGCTTAGAAACCTTTTACCTGATGAAGCTGTAGGGGATTTTTTCAGTGCATCTTCCCCACATAAATGAGCTCTTTTTCTCTTTTGAATAAAAGCAATTCTGATACTGCATATCTTTTTCTTATGGTATTGCACTGTAATTAATGTCAGCAAAAGGCCAAATGTGGAAAACTCATTTTCTACCTTTGATAGGAGTTTTTTTCTGACTGAAAACTGAGAATTCCCTAATTTTAAGAAGAAACAGGAGTATTGTAACATTCTCATCCAGTTAACAAAAAAAAGCTGCAATGTCTAGTTATATGTAGTGAGAAGAAGAAAGCTAGTACCAAGTAAAATATGATCAAAAATATAATGTAAACTTCTGTTTGCTTTTATTTGGCAATTAGGCTGTTATTTGAATTGAGTATTCTAGAATAAAATATACTTAACAGATTTGTCAACCTTTGTGTGACTTTTAAGTAATTCTGAGCATGATGGTTTTTTCCTAGGTACATGGATTTCTTCCCTACTCCCTCTAATGTCACCACCGACTTCCTCTTTGAGAAAAGTGCCAACTATTTCCATTCTGAGGAAGCTCCTAAGCGAGCTGCTTCCCTCATCCCCAAGGCCAAGATCATCACAATCCTCATCGACCCATCTGATAGGGCATATTCCTGGTACCAGGTATGCACTTTCAAGAACACAGGCAGGCACAAATCCAGGTTTCCACCTTGAACCCTCCCTGTATATCCTTTCAGCATGTATGTGTATAAAGGGTTTGGATAATACAAGCTTTTATTCATCAGTCAGTGCACCATATATGATCATCCATGGGCTGAGGTATCTGTCAGTGTAAGCCTGGAAATCTTTCACAGGTTAAAATACCAGAAACCACTTTTTCAAAAGTCTGCCTGTAATATAAGCATGTAAAAATGCTTAGTTACTCAATTAATTTATGTAATCAGCACATACAAAAATTAATTTATAGACACAGTTATCTAGTTCATGCTCAAAATAAAAGATAGATTAAGTAATTTTTGTTCTTCTGGTCTGCAGATTCCAATGGGAGTTTGGCAAGATAAAGAGATTTAAAAAAAGATAAAATTGATAAAATTTCAAAGAGAACAAAGTTCTTAGTACTTCTATGACATATTTTATATTATTTTTTGATGAGAAGTAATCACCGGCCTGAGTCTGATCCCATAGCTTACCCTGTTTTGGACAGGAGGCTTGACTACTGAGATCCCTTCTGACCTGAATTATCCAGTGATCCTCATAAATACCTGTGTTCAAATCTGCCTTTCTGATTATTTACCTTGTGTAAGCTAGAAAAAGAAAACATGAAACTACTAGAAGCAGAGCTGCTTAGTATTTGTGTTTATTATGCCTGATTCATTTGTACCAAACCTGCCACTCAGTTTGTTGAAAGTAAACATTTATACGTTCTGGTTTGTTATTGCTATTATTGGTCTAGCTTCTGATTTCTTTACAATAAAACAATATTTATTGATACAAACAGTGTTTATCCCAGCACTTTCAATGAATTAATATAGATGAAGATTTCTTAACTTTAAGTAACTTTTAATATAAATAGTCACTTACAGCAAGATCAGTAAGACCAACCAGTTTTGTCTTATTTTCCCACCTTTTGTGGTCTGTAAAGCTCCAACAATGTAACTTCTTTTGCAGCATCAGCGATCGCATGAAGATCCCGCAGCTCTAAAATTCAGCTTCTATCAGGTGATCACAGCTGGACCTCGAGCCCCATCTGAGCTTAGGGCTCTCCAAAAGAGATGCCTAGCACCTGGATGGTATGCTACCCATATTGAAAGATGGCTAACTTACTTCCCACCTTATCAGGTGAATAAGATTGTAACTTGACATCCTAATCATATATATATAATATCCTAAAAGGTTACCTTTGTAAAAGTCTTGCCTTCCGAATACTGATTCTTAGGGATATCCTAGATATACTAGAGCATGTTTTAAGACATTGATTATCATTATTCATAGCCATGTTCTAAGTAGTTGTTGACATTGCTGGGGATGTTATGTCTTAGCACCTTACAGCTGGGAGCTTCTTCTGCGAAACAAATCAGAACAGTAATCTGGAAGCTCAAGAAATGTCACTGCTGCTCCTTGAACTCTCTTCTACCCTGAACTGCGTTTAGCTTACAGCTGGTTTTAGTTTGCTCATGCTTCATCGCTCTATGTCTGGCTCTTTGTCAGTAATGTTGAGGAAAAGAGAACCAGGCATGCAATGCTTTGTGGTTTCTTTAATATCAGATGGTCCATCAGGATTCCCAAAAGAAAAAATGAAGGAAAATAAAGGGAAGCCACTCAATAATATTTCTGTCCACTCTGAGTGGTAGCAAGCATCAGCTAGCATCAAGGGAAGTCAGGTAGGATATTACCCTTCCTGCATGGGTTGAGAAGAGTTTTGGTGTCTGAACACTTGGGGTGATTTGTTTTAGTTAGCAATGTAGATAAAGCCTTTGTGTACATCAGCGTGTTTGCCATCTCAGGCATCACCAGTTTTTTAAGTGAATTCATGTTTTGGCTAACATGACTTTTCTGTAACTGTTAAAGCACTGGGTCTCTTTTGCACACTTTGTTTTTGGAAATTCATCACACATTGCTGCCCATAACAGTGCATCCTCATATCACAGCCTCTGTTGGGACTCATTCGTGCACTGGAACAGTTTTGCGTGTTGGTGTTCCTAATCGTCTACATTTGGTATCTATCAGTGATCCTGAATCCTCAATCTATTCTTTTTGTTAAGACCAGTTTCTCTGTGTGTCTTTGAGCCTCAAAGGTTGTGTGTTTATGGACCCATGGGTTTCAGTACAGGTGGCACATAAGCAACCTGAAAATTGGATCTCCCTGCAAGCTTTTGTTGGCATACAACTTGCAAATCGTTAGCCTCTTTCTGGCCCTGTGTAAGATCAAGCCTCAAAAGATGCACATCCCAAGTCCCGAACATCATGTGATATATAAGACCAGGTAAACAATACCACATGATCAGTAAATAAATCAGTAGATTTATTTCTGGAATGGATTTTTCTGACATTAGCCATGTGTCTGGCACTACTCCACCCAACATTAAAGATTACTTTAGTTGAGGGAGGTTGGCTGCAATCTGAACCTTCTGTTTTTCCAGGGCTTGCGTAGCTGAGACAAGTTGGCTGGAGTCAGCACCTTCTGTTTTCCCAGAGTGTGTCAAGGAAGCTCTGGTGTATCTAGTTGGCGTTATTCTCCACATAATCTCTTTTGGGCCAGCCTTTTTCAGACTTCATGAGATACACAATTTTGTAATACCATGATACTCATATGAAATTCCCCACGTTATATTTTCATTAGCTTTTCTCCAAAAGTAACCCATGAATATTAAACAATATGCATTTTCATACAGATTTTTGCCACATTTTACATCCCACAGTGATAGCGAAGAACAGCCCTGGTAGCCTTACGTTTTCTCTGTAAAAGTACTAGGAATTAACTTGCATTGCAAAAGCAATGATGTACAGTAGGCCATATTCAAACTAGTTACATAAGGCAGACCTAAAATCAGTTAGGTTTAAAAGTACAGCCTTACCTAAAAAAATAGAGCCTTCCTCCCCCAAAAGAGCTCTCACCCAGACTAGCTAAGGCTATCTGTAATTTTTAATGCTGTATAAATTTGGGGGTCTCTACACGTGTGACTTAATTGGAGTCTTAATGTCCACTATTAAGTCAGCAGGCATACAGTAAGTGGTAGAAGTAGCAACAGTAATAGGTAAGATTCCCCTTCTCATTAGAAAAGTGGTAACACCACACTTGTCTTACATGGTAAGAATTTGCAAATCTCAGAATACTTTGTGAATTTGGGGTTCAGATGTTTAGAATTTTGATTGACCTGATTTATTATCTCATAAGTCATACAAAAAGTCCTCTTTTGTCTGGCCACCATGACGCATATCGGAAGTTCAAAGAGCTCATGTCTGTTAATTTCCTGCCTACAACTCGTTGCTTTGATGAAGTCATACAGAACAAGAGAGGACCTAGCATGATGAACTCCCTCAGGAGCCAAAAGATATTCTGATGCACCAGCCTATAAGAAATCAAGCTGATTTTGCAGCAGCCATCATTAAATGGCCAGCTTGAAGGTGAAGAACTCAGGCTGTTTCTAAGCAGTTCTCTTCTCCAAACTGTCTTTCTTGCTCCTCTCCCATCAGTTGGTGGTGGGACTTAGACACACGCAACTCATGTATAGCAGGAGAAGTGGGCCTTAAACAATCTCTCCAGCTGTTAGCAATATAACAGTAAAATGATCAATACTCTGTAAAGTGACTTAAAATACTCTACATATCTCAAAATATTATACATATCTCTAAATCTGCGTGCTATATGAGGGTAATTCTAAAGACTGATCTTTCAAAAGAAAAGACATTTTCTCCCTTTTGATTGTGCTCTGAAACCTCATAGTCTTGCCAGCCGCTAAGTTTCATCCAATCCTGGGAGCAATTCATATGATTTTAGCCTCTGTGCTTGCATGGAAATGTAAAAACAAGTCTCAGCACTGCTTGCAGAAGGAGATTGTTGAACCATCTGCAAATCTATTTCCTCCCTTCTTTTCATCACTAAAGCATGATGGAAAAAGTAGAGGTGTTTCCATGACAGGAAATGAATGCTTGGCTAATCCATTTGGGACCTTGCTTCTCTTCCAACAGGCACAAAGACAACCAACTTGCTGCACCATCAGTTGGTCATTTGGGAATGATACCACATTTAATAAAATTCTCAGGTAGTGTCTGTTTCCCTGAAGGTTCATCTCCAGGTCAAAGGGTGGCCCTGTCTGAGGTAGCCTACTGTGAGAGTGTGTATGGTCAAGCACTTAAAAAGAAGAAAAAGAAATTGCCTACCAGTACCTGGCTTTCTTAGAGATGTGTTGCACATTCTGTATCCGTCTACATCCCTGCCTTAAGGTCCTCATAACATCTGCCTTTATTCATGTTCTCAAATACCTTTTTTTTCATACAATCAGGTATTGTATGGGTTTAGAAGTAAGGCATTTCGCCTATCATCTACCTACTGGTTTCTGTCTTTCTGGTCATTTCCAGTGACAAGCTTTTCAACATTATTGTAACATATGTATGTATATGTTTGTGTCTATGAGAATTACAGGTTATTTCTCTAGACATTAATACCTTTTTTTCTTGGCTGGACAAGTCTCACTCAATTTCCAGCCAGTATTTCTTATCCTTCTAGATCATTCTGGAAGGAGGAGAAATAGAACTGCTATTTCTCTGTTGTCACAAAAGCTTCCAATTTAGTATCATTTCAGATTTAATTAACATGCCATTTACCTGGCTCCCAGGTCATTAATGATGATGACAGTTAAAACTGGACCAATTATCATTCTCTGGGGCAGTGCTCTCTGTGTAACGAATAAGTTTGGCAGTGGTGGAAATTTCAGTTTGAAGCTTGAAATAATGAATTTTGAATTAAACTTCCATTTATTTGTTGTAGTTGCTAATTATTGATGGACAGCAGCTGAGGACTGACCCATCTACTGTAATGGATGAAGTACAGAAATTTCTGGGAGTCTCTCCTCATTATAATTACTCTGAAGCCCTAACGTGAGTTAATTTAATCACCATTTTTCACATGTTCCTTCATTCCTAAAATACCAGTTATTCTGTAAGTAAGCTCACTGCAAAATAAAGCCTCTCATACTTCTTTGAGCTGTCAGTAGGATGTATTCTTCAATGTCTGCAAAGAACACAATTCAGGGTTAGGTTTTCTGTGAATCATCCACTGAGCCACTCAATGTGGAGCTCGACTGTTACAGAAGTATACCTCTGACAAAGGGACAAAGTAAGTATTGCTTTGTGAGAATTACATATGAATTTTGGATGAATCAAAAGGGATTTTATTTCCATACGTGGAACATGGAATGCTGACATGCATAAACAGAAAGGAAAGAGAATCAATTTCTCTTTATTTTTGATATTAGCTGCAAGACAGATTCAACAGTATCAGTCAGGAATGTAACATCCACTGTACATTATAAATGCACGTGTACGCAAATCCTTTGGATTCTAATACTTAGATTTGGTTGCCTTTAAAATAAGACTGATAACCTTAAGTTTAGTCTTTTGAGTCTTCAGTCAAAACTTGGGAGATGCATCCTCCTTGCAGTATCTCACAGCCTTTACACTGCAAAATATTTGTTTCAGGTTCGATTCACATAAAGGTTTCTGGTGTCAGCTCCTGGAAGAAGGAAAAACAAAGTGTCTTGGAAAGAGCAAAGGAAGAAAATACCCTCCTATGGATTCTGAGGTAAACCGTTATGCTCGTTGGCATTACACAGGGATTCAGTTGCCATGTACGGGACACTGTGCAGGCAAAATTACAAGATGAGAGAGAAGACAAAATTAAGTAGACGATAATTAT